CTTCCTACTCCTTCCTACTCTTTCCTACTACTTTCTACCCCTTCCTACTCCTTATTACTCCTTCCTACCCCTTCCCGCTCCCTCCTACTCATTCCTACTACTTCCTACTTCTTCCTACTCCTTTCTACACCTTTCTACTTCTTCATACTCCTTCCTTCTCCTTCTTACTCCTTCCTACTCCTTCCTACTCCATTCTACTCCTTCCTAATCCTTTTTTCTCCTTCCTACTCCTTTCTACACCTTTCTACTCCTTCCTACTCCTTCCTTTTCCTTCCTACTCCTTCCTTTTCCTTCCTACTCCTTTCAACTCCTTCCTACTCCTTCCTACTCATTCCTACTCCTTGCTACTCCTTCCTACTCCTTCCTACTCCTTCCCTTTCCTTCCTACTCCTTCATTTTCCTTCCTACTCCTTTCTACACCTTTCTACTCCTTCCTTCTCCTTCCTACTCCTTCCTACTCCTTCCTACTACTTTCTACCTCTTCCTACTCCTTATTACTCCTTTCTACTCCTTCCCGCTCCCTCCTACTCATTCCTACTACTTCCTACTTCTTCCTACTCCTTCCTACTCCTTTCTACTCCTTCTTACTCCTTTCTACTCCTTTCTACTCCATCCTACTCCTTCCTACTCCTTTCTACTCCTTCCTACTCCTTCCTACTCCTTCCTACTCCTTCCTACTCCTTCCTACCCCTTCCTACTCCTTCCTACTCCTTCCTAATCCTTCATTTTCCTTCCTTTTCCTTTATACTCCTTCCATTTCCTTCCTACTCCTTTCTACACCTTTCTACTCCTTCCTACTCCTTCCTACTCCTTCCTTCTCCTTCCTACTCCTTCCTACTCCTTCCTACTCTTTCCTACTACTTTCTACCCCTTCCTACTCCTTATTACTCCTTCCTACTCCTTCCCGCTCCCTCCTACTCATTCCTACTACTTCCTACTTCTTCCTACTCCTTTCTACTCCTTCCTACTCCTTCCTACTCCATTCTACTCCTTCCTAATCCTTTCTTTTCCTTCCTACTCCTTTCTACACCTTTCTACTCCTTCCTACTCCTTCCTACTCCTTCCTTTTCCTTCCTACTCCTTTCTACTCCTTCCTACTCCTTTCTACTCCTTTCTACTCCATCCTACTCCTTCCTACTCCTTCCTACTCCTTTCTACTCATTCCTACTCCTTCCTACTCCTTCCTTTTCTTTCCTACTCCTTCCTTTTCCTTCCTTCTCCTTTCAACTCCTTCCAACTCTTTCCTACTCATTCCTACTCCTTCCTACTCCTTCCTACTCCTTCCTACTCCTTCCTACTCCTTCCTACTCCTTCCTACTCCTTCCTACTCCTTCCTACTCCTTCCTACTCCTTCCTTTTCCTTCCTACTCCTTCATTTTCCTTCCTACTCCTTTCTACACCTTTCTACTCCTTCCTTCTCCTTCCTACTCCTTCCTACTCCTTCCTACTACTTTCTACCTCTTCCTACTCCTTATTACTCCTTTCTACTCCTCCCCTCTCCCTCCTACTCATTCCTACTACTTCCTACTTCTTCCTACTCCTTCCTACTCCTTTCTACTCCTTCTTACTCCTTTCTACTCCTTTCTACTCCTTTCTACTCCATCCTACTCCTTCCTACTCCTTTCTACTCCTTCCTACTCCTTCCTACTCCTTCCTACTCCTTCCTACTCCTTCCTACTCCTTCCTACTCCTTCCTACTCCTTCCTACTCCTTCCTACTCCTTCCCGCTCCCTCCTACTCATTCCTACTACTTCCTACTTCTTCCTACTCCTTCCTACTCCTTTCTACACCTTTCTACTTCTTCATACTCCTTCCTTCTCCTTCTTACTCCTTCCTACTCCTTCCTACTCCATTCTACTCCTTCCTACTCCTTCCTACTCATTCCTACTCCTTTCTACACCTTTCTACTCCTTCCTACTCCATCCTACTCCTTCCTACTTCTTCCTAATCCTTCCTTTTCCTTCCTACTCCTTCATTTTCCTTCCTACTCCTTTCTACACCTTTCTACTCCTTCCTTCTCCTTCCTACTCCTTCCTACTCCTTCCTACTCCTTCCTACTACTTTCTACCTCTTCCTACTCCTTATTACTCCTTTCTACTCCTTCCCGCTCCCTCCTACTCATTCCTACTACTTCCTACTTCTTCCTACTCCTTCCTATTCCTTTCTACTCCTTCCTACTCCTTTCTACTCCTTTCTACTCCTTTCTACTCCATCCTACTCCTTCCTACTCCTTTCTACTCCTTCCTACTCCTTCCTACTCCTTCCTACTCCTTCCTACTCCTTCCTACTCCTTTCTACACCTTTCTACTCCTTCCTACTCCCTCCTACTCCTTCCTACTTCTTCCTAATCCTTCCTTTTCCTTCCTACTCCTTCATTTTCCTTCCTACTCCTTTCTACACCTTCCTACTCCTTCCTACTCCTTCCTACTCCTTCCTACTCCTTCCTAATCCTTCATTTTCCTTCCTTTTCCTTTATACTCCTTCCTTTTCCTTCCTACTCCTTTCTACACCTTCCTACTCCTTTCTACACCTTTCTACTTCTTCCTTCTCCTTCCTACTCCTTCCTACTCTTTCCTACTACTTTCTACCCCTTCCTACTCCTTATTACTCCTTCCTACCCCTTCCCGCTCCCTCATACTCATTCCTACTACTTCCTACTTCTTCCTACTCCTTTCTACACCTTTCTACTTCTTCATACTTCTTCCTTCTCCTTCTTACTCCTTCCTACTCCTTTCTACACCTTTCTACTCCTTCCTTCTCCTTCCTACTCCTTCCTACTCCTTCCTACTACTTTCTACCTCTTCCTACTCCTTATTACTCCTTTCTACTCCTTCCCGCTCCCTCCTACTCATTCCTACTACTTCCTACTTCTTCCTACTCCTTCCTACTCCTTTCTACTCCTTCTTACTCCTTTCTACTCCTTTCTACTCCATCCTACTCCTTCCTACTCCTTTCTACTCCTTCCTACTCCTTCCTACTCCTTCCTACTCCTTCCTACTCCTTCCTACTCCTTCCTACTCCTTCCTAATCCTTCATTTTCCTTCCTTTTCCTTTATACTCCTTCCTTTTCCTTCCTACTCCTTTCTACACCTTTCTACTCCTTCCTACTCCTTCCTACTCCTTCCTACTCCTTCCTACTCCTTCCTACTCCTTCTTACTCTTTCCTACTACTTTCTACCCCTTCCTACTCCTTATTACTCCTTCCTACTCCTTCCCGCTCCCTCCTACTCATTCCTACTACTTCCTACTTCTTCCTACTCCTTTCTACTCCTTCCTACTCCTTCCTACTCCATTCTACTCCTTCCTAATCCTTTCTTTTCCTTCCTACTCCTTTCTACGCCTTTCTACTCCTTCCTACTCCTTCCTACTCCTTCCTTTTCCTTCCTACTCCTTTCTACTCCTTCCTACTCCTTTCTACTCCTTTCTACTCCATCCTACTCCTTCCTACTCCTTCCTACTCCTTTCTACTCATTCCTACTCCTTCCTACTCCTTCCTTTTCTTTCCTACTCCTTCCTTTTCCTTCCTACTCCTTTCAACTCCTTCCTACTCCTTCCTACTCATTCCTACTCCTTCCTACTCCTTCCTACTCCTTCCTACTCCTTCCTACTCCTTCCTACTCCTTCCTACTCCTTCCTACTCCTTCCTACTCCTTCCTACTCCTTCCTTTTCCTTCCTACTCCTTCCTTTTCCTTCCTACTCCTTTCTACACCTTTCTACTCCTTCCTTCTCCTTCCTACTCCTTCCTACTCCTTCCTACTACTTTCTACCTCTTCCTACTCCTTATTACTCCTTCCTACTCCTTCCCGCTCCCTCCTACTCATTCCTACTACTTCCTACTTCTTCCTACTCCTTCCTACTCCTTTCTACTCCTTCCTACTCCTTTCTACTCCTTTCTACTCCTTTCTACTCCTTCCTACTCCTTCCTACTCCTTTCTACTCCTTCCTACTCCTTCCTACTCCTTCCTACTCCTTCCTACTCCTTCCTACTCCTTCCTACTCCTTCCTACTCCTTCCTACTCCTTCCCGCTCCCTCCTACTCATTCCTACTACTTCCTACTTCTTCCTACTCCTTCCTACTCCTTCCTTATCCTTCATTTTCCTTCCTTTTCCTTTATACTCCTTCCTTTTCCTTCCTTTTCCTTCCTACTCCTTTCTACACCTTTCTACTCCTTCCTACTCCTTCCTACTCCTTCCTACTCCTTCCTACTACTTTCTACCTCTTCCTACTCCTTATTACTCCTTCCTACTCCTTCCCGCTCCCTCCTACTCATTCCTACTACTTCCTACTTCTTCCTACTCCTTTCTACTCCTTTCTACTCCTTCCTACTCCTTCCTACTTCTTTCTACTCCTTCCTTTTCCTTCCTCCTCCTTTCTACTCCTTTCTACTCCTTCCTACTCCTTCCTTTTCCTTCCTCCTCCTTTCTACTCCTTCACTGTTCAATTTTTATTAAGCCGGACCTGGATTTTGATTTTTTTTAGTGTATCGATAAATTGTTCAAAAAGATGTAGATTATCTGTGCAAAATATGAAATAATTATACTGAGTGATTCAAAAGTTATAAGCCCTAAAAGAAATGGGCTAAATTCAAAAAACGCCCTGTAACTCGGTTATAAAGAGCGTAAGACCCATAGTATATAGGTTTTTTGGGATCCCCTGGGTGACCTCTATATAGGGTTAAAATTTTTCCGTTTCGGAATGAATCGCCCTGTATCTTTTTGGTAGTTATTTCGATTTGGTTCATTTTTTGGGAAAAGTATACATTTTGAAACAGCAACACACTGGTATATTCGGGATATAAAGAACATATTTATGTATTTACAGAACACAACAAACACTCTTTCAATAAGGATTAAATAAAGCAAAAATACTAATTAAATATTTTATTACAAACTGAAACTGAAAAAATTAAAAGAACTGTTAACTGATCAAAAGAACGTATTGGTATTATTTTAAAATTAGAAGAAACAACAGAGATTGTATTTAATAATACAGCCCATTTCACTGATAATAATTCTCATGAAATAATATTACACTGTAAAGATTGCGATAGTCTCCATTTGAATCTTTAATTGAGTAATCTTTCTTTGGCTCAAGTATAAGTAAACCGTTTGCTTTATCTAAATTACTTAATACGCCTGGTACTTCCTTTGCAGTCGTCATTCCAGTCAAAGTCCTATTTACTTTAACTAGTCGATACTCTCGACAATCATAATTAAATGGTAACTAAAAAATGAAATTTATTGTAATATTATATTCTATACTCTGTTTTCTATCAAGAAATAGTAAAAAAATAATAAAGCCGTAATTTATAGGGACACTAACAAATAAATACAACCTAGTAAAAGGTAATACCCTGTATACTGAGAGAACTAATAAAGTAAAATAAACATAACAATTATACAATGGTAAAAGCTGTAACGTTTTGGAATTTTATGATTTTTTTCATTAATTCGCGCCTGGTGTATTTTCCATATTAATTACCTACTTTTCATATTATTTGCAAATTTAGGTTTTTTTATTAGTATCTCCTGATAGCGAACGGATTGTATTAGAAAAATCCGTATTAAATTGTATTAAAGAAATAAAGTTTTTAGGAAAAAGTGGAGCTTAGTTATTTCAAACAAAACGTATTTCAAATATAATTATTTCACTGTTAACAAAATTTTTACTTACTATATTAAATGAATTTGGTGGTATAGAAATATGTACAAAACGTTCGAAGGGAAATTTTTCAATTAAGCGTAGAGCACGAATAACGAATAATATACAAGTTATTGCACATGAAGATTGATTACCCGTTAGGCCAAACACTATTTTCCATGTTTCATTATACATAAGTGTCGCAAAGGTCGTGTATTTTCTATAACAAAATCATAATCATTTAATCATTGAAATCTTTCAAGATATGAAACTTTGACTTACCCGGGTTTCATCTTTATCCTGCAAAAATGTATAGTAGCTTGAAAATCCTCAACGAGGACCCGTTTCAACATGTCCAATTCTCCCATTGAACTGTTCGTTATAATAACATTGTTACAAGTAAAACTTTGTTCAAGAGCTTGCTTTATTGCATCAGGACTAAAAATAATTGTATTAAAAAAGGGTCAAATACATCAGGATTACTTATTACTTGTCTTTAGCTATGCCACAATCGTTTGCTTCATAATGGACATTTTTAAGCAAATTAATTAAGGTGCATTTATTTGCATCTTTGATTTTGCCAGTGGCTAGTTCTTCTTTAGGTTCACAAATATTGCCAATTGATATGACTCCTATAGAAGGGCGTCTAGAAAAAAATGTATTACAGTAAAGGAGGGAACTTTTAGGAAACTGAATATTTCAACTTACTTATAAACCAAAATATTTGTTTTTCCTAACATGGCTAAAACTCCTAAAGAGAAATGTTTGATACGTACGCCTTTTTGTAAAACCAAAGATTTCTCGTTTACGTCGCTTCCGATTCCTCTAACAAAAATTACTAGATATACCACAATTGTATTTAAAAAATTTCCCTTACCTTATGTTTTCATTGTAGTTGGGTTCTCTTTTGATTTTCACCTTAATTACTTCAGAACCATCAATCGAATATTCAACTACTGATGTATCTTCCAATGGTACCACTGCGTCTGCTTCCGCAGGAATTGGATCTCCCATCGATATTCTTATCGCTTCGCCTGACTGTAGAACTTCTTTGATTGGCTGCAAAATTACAAACTTAATTTATTACAATTCTAATGAGCTCATTCTTTAGAAATCTTGTAAATGTATCTACATACCTTATCTCCTGCAGTTGCGACATTCTTCACAACACGTATTCCTTTGCCGTCACTCCTTTTAACAGCGTAACCATCCATAGTCGAAGTTGAAAATGAAGGAATCGATTCTTCAGCATGAAAATCTTCTGCTGCAATTCGATTAAACGATCTCTCCAAAGGCACCGTTTCTGTGGTTTCCTCTTCATCAGAACAAATATCATTAATAATACCATAAGCAACTTTAATATCGATAATAGGGTAGCGGTATTTTCTTAATGGAGCCAGTTTCACCTACAAAAATAAAGACAAATTCGTACCTTCGCTGATGTCGAAGCTGTTAATTTTATAAATTACCTTACTAAGGCTGGTGGTTGGGACAACGGATGCTCCTGAGTCGCTCAGAATGGCTCCGTGACCAGAAACCACAGATTTTTTTTTGTTCTGTTAGGAGCTCCAAAGCGCGGGGTAAGGCTTCCTTGATGATACCGAAGCATTCCGAAACCATTTCGGGGCTTCCCGGCAGATTTACTATCATCGTGTTGTCTCTAATACCGCTCAAGGGTCTGGAGATCATCGCAATTGGAATGATCTTCAAGCTACTGGTGATCATAGCAAAGATGATGTCTGGTAAATTGCCTGTTATGAATATTACGTTGATTTTCAAGTCGAACCATTCTGTTAGAGTCGATTTAATTTCCTGCATATCCACTGGTACGATTTTTATTGCGCTTATTTCGGCTGATGGAAACTCCTTTAATATTTCTTCTTTTAATTTAGGACTTGATGAATCATTGCCTTTACCCGCATAACTGCTGTCGCTGACTGTAATGGAGAGTCAATTTGAATCAAAGAAATGTAAAATGAGTTGCCTACTTACCAGTAAGTATTCCGAAGCTTATCTGAACAGGCATAATAAAAGTTCTATAAAATATAAAGAAAAGATGTAATAAGAGTAAAAAAATGAGGGAGCGGTCTACCCAATTTTCTTTTATACAAAAGTACAACAGCAAGATTTTGAAAAATGATCCTACATTAAGCTAGAGAAAAAAAAATGTTATTGTTATAATTTATAGAATAGCATGTGGGTAATTCAATTTACACAAAATTAGGAAAGTACCAGTATTTATTTAAACTTAAATATACCTAGGTATCTTTATTAAACAAACGAAAAGATTTTATAAGTACAGGGTGTCCCAATGAAAAGTTTTCTCAAAAATGTTTTATTTTATTACAAGTTTTGTTACAGTGATACAGGAATTATGCATTACCAATACAGGGTGTTGTATAAAACTGTCCTCTTTTAAATTCACAGTTACTAAATTTTTTTTAAATGGAACACCCCGTATATATAGAGGTATTTTGAATGATATACTCTTCTACTTTTCAAAAATGTATTATTTGTACATGTTATTCTACAAAAGAAAATGTCCTATTTCATAAAATTTGGTTAATGTGAATTTAAAAGAGGAGATTTTTATGAAACACCCTGTACAGGCGATACGAAATTTTTGTGTTACTGTAACAAAAAGTTATAGCAAATTAAAATATATCTTCGAAAACCGCAAGTTTTATGATTAGGCGTTTAAAAATTATTAGCCCATTAATTTTTGTATTTTGTATTTAAAGGGGCTATTTTTCATTCATATTATTCACCCAGTATTACGAGTATATAATAATTTATGTTTGGAAGAGCAAGTAAGTAATTCAATTTATTGAGAATTGCGGAGGAATCAGAATTATGGAGGTTGAGTTTTTCTTTCGATGTTTACTCTACAGAAATCTGTTTGGAAATAGAAAAAAAAAGTTTAAATGGAAAAATTTAATATTTGCAGTTTTGTGAGACATGTTTCACAACCAGTACATCAATTTTGCAAAATATGACACCTGTCAAAGTATTTAAATTTACTTGGACGACGAAATATGTATGGGTAGACCGCAAAAATTACGGTAGACCGCATGCTAGACCGGCTACAAAAAGATTTTACCGTACCATAAACGTGGCGAAAAAGCTTGTGTTGGGAAAAGAAAATAAAAATAGAATTTTCTAATAAAAAAAAGCAACATGTCTGCCGGTGCTTCAACGAATATTTAACGATCAACTTGAATAAACGAAATAATCGATACAACTTATTGTTGAAAATAAAGAAATAGTTTATTAAGCAAAAATACATCTTCCTGCATTATAAGCAAAACTGTACGTGACTCGATATTTGTTTTCTTTTTTTTTTAATTACCTACCGAGTCGCCATTTTTTATGAGAGAATTTACTAACGAAAATATTTCAAAAAAATTGAATTCCTTCTTTTAGTCTTTGGATAGTTCAGAAGTGTCTTCCAATTATAGTTAAAGTGAATTAAAATAATCATTTATTTCGGTATATAAAAGACAATTGTGTTTTATAAAGCCATTTCCACGATATTAACGATTTAATAAAAACAATATTTATCGATATTTTAACTATTTAACACCTAAATAAACTTATAATTTATGTAATAATTATACAGACCTTTGCTATTTTTCCGGTGATTCAATTAACACAACTGAAACAGTAACTAATCTCGATGAATTAATTTCTCACTACGTTTTAATTTAGTAAGGCACTCGAACAGATACAGGGAGTTCAGATTCAGACTTCCAGTGAAGTAAAAAAGCGCTGTGCTGTTGAATTTGTGGAAAATGCGACGTTGCCAAATATTCCTCTCTTTATCTGGGATTACCCTATGTGGGAATGACCAATCACAAACGCTCAATCGGCTCAATTGATATAACAGGTAAAAGGTCGAGGAAATTGATTAGAGAATTGTCGTATGTACATACACCGTAGACAAAATAGGTACTATTTAGTACTATTATCTGTTTATATGTTAAAAAAATCCCTAAAGCGAAAACGGTGCAAAGAAATGGCCAATAAACAAAAGCACGATCGTATACTACAAGGTCTAGAAACTCGACTTGTGTTATTGGCGTTATCTAGTTGAATGAAAATGTTTATAATAGTTTACTTCAATATAAGCTCTGTAAACATCTAAATTGTGACAATCTTTAGCAATCTAAATGTTGAATCCAAAAAATATCGTTTACAACATTGACGCCTACCGGTCGTTTTAGCAAACTACGAACCATTCCAGTTTCTAGACCTTATAATTTACGACAGCGAACTGAAGCTTCTTACAAATACGAGCAGTGTTGCCAGTGCTATTACAATCGTAATAGATCTATTACAATGAATATTCATCTATTACGCTATTTCTGTACGTACGGAAAAGTACAGAAATACTTTTTTGACTTTTATTTAACAATTCTTCTTCTCTTTTTCCGAATGCCTATGTATATAATTATGAAATACTAAAAGACAATATTTCAGATCTAGTACACAAAAATCTTGGAACACTTTTTTGTACTTACCGAGAAGTACAGAAGCACTTTTTTGATTTTTTTAAATAATTTTTCTTTTCTTTTTCCGAGAATTTCCAATATTTCAATTCTAGTACACTTTTATGGCAAATTCTATTACGCAAGAAGTTTTGATGGTGCAACACTGAATGTGACAGTAATGACAGAAGACGAGTGACGTTTGAGGTTAGGTTCGTATAAATAGGAAATTTAGCGAAGAATAACTTCTGAAAATGCCGGAAAAGAAAACGAGACAACGGAAAAAGGCCGAAACGAAAATTTGAAAGAAAGTAATCAAAACTTAGACGACAGATGTCACTTGTCACAGGTAAATCACAGCGAAAATTAACAAAAAAAACAATTTTTAATTTCCTTCTAATTTAAAAGGAACATAAAACCCTTCTGTTACTTCTACCAAACGATCCGGAGACTTCCAAACATGCAACTAATGCAACAAAATCAACAAAAATGCATTTTGAAAACTGCCAACTGCGTTATCAAACACCCCGATGTCTCCACCGAAGGAATATGAGATTATTGTAAAAGTACTTTTTAATCAATTACTCGACTATAAATCATCTTTCGATTCATCCAGAGGGCCATTTTCGACTTCTACGAAGCATCCTAGTGACCCCCGAAGGAGGCTATTTATATTCCGAAAATTTCCTTTACTATGAAGATCAATTTCTAACATTCAGACCTTCGTGGAAGTTAAATTACAATTGTAAGTAAGAAAGACTTGAAGTGTCTTGTAATTGAATTGAATTCGGGGGGCACTTTTTGTATTTGTTGTTATTTTTTTTAGCTCTGAATCGTAAATTCGGTAGACAAGTTCAAGCCGGTGGGTACGATGATGATAACTATGATGATGATGATGATTATGATGAAGCTCAATCCAGTTGTTATACTTACGAGGATTAGGAAGGAGGATGATGAAAGATCTAATTTAAAATAACATGATTATTAAAATATTCTCCAATAAAGAACCGTTTCCAATTTCTGGAGTTTTTTTAAATTATTCTAGACTGTTCTAAATGATTCTGGGTCGTTCTAAATTCTTCTAGATAGTTCTAAATGGTTCTAGACTATTTTAAATTATTGTGGAGCGTATAAATTAATTCTAGACAGTTCTAAATGGTTTAAGACAGTTCTAAATGCTTCTAAATATTAGAAAATTGAAAATTAAGAGGTTGTTTAGAAACACAAACCTAGTGGACACGGTTCTGAGAGTACCTACTAATTTTTATAAAAATTTTAACAAGCATTTTGGACATTCTTAGAGAGTAAAAATTCGCGAGTTTGCTGTCGAAATGGATAAAGACCTTAGAGTACAGATAAGTTTACAAAATTTACAAATAGTTTAAGGTTTTGGGGTTGTTTTTGGGGCGGTTTTAGAGCGTATTAGAGTTGTTTTAGAGTGATTTTGGAGCGGTTTATTGGCAGTATTTTTTGGGCGGTTTTAGATCGGATTTTGGAGTGAGTTTTAAAAGGTTTTTGAAACGTAATTAGAGCTGTTTTAGAAAGATTTTGGAGAAGTTTTAAAGTGGGTTTTAGAGCGGCTTTGTAGAGGATTTGGCGGTCTTTGGGGGCGATTTTAAGCAGTTTTAAAGAGATTTTAGAGCGGTTTTGAATCGTTATCAAAGCTGTTTTAGAACGGTCTTATCAAGTTTTTTGAGTGGACATTAGCAGTTACAACTGTTTTTTAA